ACCACATTATTTTTACTAGCAAGGGGAAAACTTTGCCTATTGCGTAATTAATACTTTTTTCAATAGCCTCTTTTCTTATATTCTTCTCATAGATAGCGTTTTCGGGGAGGCATCTCGACTAATCTTTTTTCTAAGCAATTCCCACACAAAGCCTTTTTCTCGGGTAAGCCCCAGAAGCGAGCATCATGACGATTTTTGATAATATAATGACCTTCCGCTTCTCAAATAGTAGCAAAACATGCAAAACACCAGGAATGATAAATAAGGCGGTTGAAAACAAGAAAAGGCAAAGCGGGAATTTTATCGGGCTGTTTTAAGCATGTCAATTCGTTGGCTTCAATTCTTTGTCCTAACTTAGTTAACTCGGCGGAGTCAGTATTTATAATGGGATTTCACCTACTCGGATAGAAGCAGTTTTTATCAACTTTCCTCTTTCTCATATTATATTTTTACGCAATAGGCAAAGTTTTATTCATGACGTAAGTACTCTCACTTGCTCGAAAAAATTAGTAGTAATACATGCAGACTGAACCCGAAGAAGATTTATCCAAAGAGTTCCCAACCGCAATTAAAAGTGTTAGAAATTTCGTCTTAACCAACAAAGACGAAATTATGGTGTGAACTGGTATTGGTTCTTTTCTTCTTACTCTGCTTCATTAGGTAGAGATAGTGGGTGTAAACATTTCACACCTTTTCACACCCAAAAAGCATTGCTGGGAAGTTAAAATTATTCATTATGATCGCTATTTTCGATTTCTTAATTGGGTTTGGGGCTGGTTATTGTGCTTGCTATTTCGAGTGATTCTTGAAACTCTTCGGACTAGATGCTCCGAGCGTAGTCAAAAAAGGGCTGAATTTTCTGAAAAATGACACTTGACCTTTTTTACGAGGAATAGTTTGACCCCGACTGCAAAGCTTCCGCAATTTTTTGTTTCACTAAGGTTTCCAAACTAGGGTTGCCACCCGCAGCGGCGTATTTTTCTCACACGAACTTATCAATTGGTATCTCGGAATTAGCGAGGTTAGACAAGTACTGCTGGTAATCTTCTTCTAATTGCCGATGCCTAGTTAAAGGAAGTTTTTCTAGGAGGACCCCCAACTCACTAAAATCTCGGTAGGAAATTTCTCCTTCAGCTTTTCACCATAAAAAGCCTTTTTCCACCACGAATCCCAAATCTCCCTCTCTTTTTACCAACTCATATTTTACCCCTTTTTTAAAGTCTTGTAAATCTTCTAAATAGGCTTCCTTTTTGGCCAGATAAATGGCGGTGTGTCTCTGGCCTTGCCAAATGAGGGGCTGAGCGAGCAGGAGGCAAAAACAATCCTTCTCTTCTTGATACTTTTCAAAAGTGAAGATTATGGGTGGGTCGATAGTTAGGTGGTCCGCAGCAAAAGTTAATAATTCAAAAAAGTTATACGAAGGAATGGTTTTTAAGCCCAAGGTGCAGAGTAAATCTCTTTGTCAACTTCGTAAAGCCCCCATTGCTACTCAATCTTCCAAAGAGAGGCTGATATTTAAACTTTGTTTAGCTTTTAGTTTTTCTTCGGCAAAGTGGCCTAAGGATTGGATTATTAACTGTTTTCTGGCTTGAATTTCTTCCTCTCTTTCTGTTTTTAACCGAGCTTTTTCTTGTTGGCGGAGTAGTTTTTGCTCGCCTAATAAAAATTTCGTCCGCAGCAACCAGTAAGCTTCGGGTACTGGACCAAAATCGGTATGCGGGTTAGGAAATATCCCCTCCTTAACAAAAAAGTTTAAGTGAGAAGTTTTTAACTGCAAAGCATTAATTAGTTCTTTGGCTGCCGAGGAGTGTTTGTACTCCTGAATTAAAGGAGCCAGGACTCGCAAAATGCTGTCTTGTTCCTCGTGAAAAACAAAAGTCTGAAATCCTTCGGGATAAGCCAAGTTGAGTAAATTTTGATTTTGTTCTTCGGTCAATTGCAACTTACTTAAACCAAACCGGAGCAAGTTATTTTTTTGCTCCTCCTGAACTTGCCAGTTAGAAGCATCAAAAAAACTAACTCCTATTTCTTCCAAAGAATTTCTGGTTTCTAAACTTATTTCCAACCGGTTAATCAGTAAGCGAAGAATAGCTTCTTTTTGCTCGATTGAGGGTTGAAAATGCTTTTTTTCTTCGTGGAGTCGATGATTTAAATTTAGCAAATTCAGTTTCTTTTCATAAGTATCAACACCGCAGTTATTCAAACCCGCATTAACTAAGTTTAGTTTAATTGGGGGCGAAAGTTGAGCAAAAACCTTTCGTAAAACCTCCTTTTCAGGCGTGGTTAAACTCTTAGCTTGGCCAGCAATAGCACAAAATTGCTCCTCGGTCAAACGCAATTGGCTTAAAAGGTGTTGTTCAGCTTCGGACGGTGCAGCAAATTTTTCTAATTTAGTCGAAAGCTTTTGGGTTTGGTTATCCTTTTTGTTTAATATTTTTTCTTCAATTTCGGCTAACTCTTTTAAGAACAAAGAACGTTTTTCAAAATCCGGATACCTTTGCTTGATTTTTTCCCACGTCATCCGGGGGGGAAGATTAGTCAAATCAGTTTGAGCCTTACTTAAATTCTCAGCGACTAACTGCTGTTTCATTTTGGCAACTTGAGCTAATCGGGCTTTTTTTTGTTCGATAACCTCAGCCTTGCGTTGTTCTTGTCGCACTCGGAAGTTTTCCTCTAATCCGGCAACTTGCTGATTAGTGCGGCTATCTTGCCACCACGTGTAACCCCAAATGCTAATAATGATAACGTTAAAGCCAGCTATGGCGGCTCATTTATGTTCTTTCTTTTCCACCACTGAGTAAGCCAAAACATTACCAACTATGTAACCAATTAGCAAAGCATAAGTCTGTCATAAGTGTTGATGAGCCAGGATAGTGTCTTTGTAGCAATAAAGAATAGCCAGAATGGTATTAAGAATAACCAAACCTAAGACGCCATTTTTATCATAAATTACTTTTTCGAGTAAGAAAAGAATTATCAGCAAAGTTAGTCAAGTCATTTGGGCTTTGTGAGCCGATAAGTCCTGTTGCTTTTCTTGAACTTCTTCGGTTAACTCTTGGGGGTCAAAGGTTTCTGGATTTAGTTGTTCGGGATTAAGTAGGGGTTGGGAAATTCCTTGTAGGAGATTTCATTGTTGTTCTAATTCCTGCTTTTTGCCTTGGAGAACTTTTTTTTCTTGCTCGTCTAGTTGTTCAACAAATTCTTGTTGCTTTTGCAAAGTTTCTAATTCCTCGCGTTTTTGTTGTAATTCCCGAGCAATTCTTTCTTTTTCGGCGTTAGATTTTGACTGATTATTGTCTTTTTCCTCTAACTCGGTAATCTCTTTTTGGGTTTTATTAATGCGGTATTGCCGCGAAATTTGTTCTTGGTTACGGGTTGGCTTGGTTTCTTTTCGGTTTTCTAATGCTTCTAAATCTTGCTTAATGGCTTGCTGAACCGGTTGTAATCTTTCCAGCACTTCCTTTTTCATTTCTTCTAACTTTTCTAAATTCGTGTTAACTTTTTCCCGATCCTTAGCTTCTTCAGGTTGTTCGGCATCAATTTCACTCCGGCGATATTCTGACAAATCGCGGTCTTCTCGGGGTTTGTATTCCGAGGGCCTTCGTACTGACTCTTGTCCCTCGAGAGCGGAAATTAGACTTTGTAAAAGCGAGATAACAGGTTGGTCCGCAGTTTCGGCTCCGGTAGTCGGGATTATTTCTTCCGGGAGTAAATTTTTGGTTTCTTCGAGCAAATTGAGAGTGGCTAATAACTTAGCTTCTTCGGCTTTATTAGCCAGAGTTTTTTGGATCTGGTCAAAAACTAATTGCTGGGCTGAGAAGTCTAGTAATTCTTGCCTCTTGATAAAATCGTCTAATCGTTGGTTAGTTCTTTGCACTTCTTCCCGGGCTTGTTGGATAGCTTGTTGATTTTGTTGCATTTGCTTATCTAGTTTGTCTACTTTATCCTGAGTTTTGGCCATTTCCGTGGCTAACGCATCTACTCTTTGGCTAGTCCGCTGAGCTAATTGTAAAGCTTGGTTGATTCTTCCTTCTAGTTTATCCATTCTTTGGTTAACTTCCTGCTTGATGTTTTCCATTTCCTGGGCAAAAGAATTTAATCTTTGTTCATGCCAACGCAGAATTTCGGCTTGCTTTTGGAGTTCGTCCCGAAGTTCTTGCCTTTCCTGCCCTGCTTGGTCAAACTTTTGGCTAAACTCAGAAAATTTGGCTTCCGCATTTTTGATTTGTTCTTGACTAGCCCGATTAATATTTTGCTGGGCTGCTTCGAGTTTCCGAATGGCTTCTTCTAAAAGTTTTTTTTGCTCCTCGACTAATTGCTTTTTGGTTTCGGCTTGGAGTTGGGTGATTTTGGCTTCTTGTTGGCGAATTTCATCGACCAAACGAGTTTCTAAACGACTTTCTTGGCTCTTGAGTTGATTTGCTAAATCTTCCTTTTGCCTTTCCAGCTCAGCCCGCAACTGGTCGATATTTTCCGTGAGTTCTTGACTTTTAGATTCGATTTCGCCTTGGGCTTGGGCTAAACCATCTTTCAGATTACCGATAGAACCCAAACCAAATCCCCCAACTCCGCCGGAAATAACATCCTTGGTGGTGCCCAACGCAAATTTTGCTGCTTGTAACCCTTTCTTTACTGTACCAACGCCGGGTATGAGGGCTTCCGCTACTCCTAAGGTTACCGTAGCAACAGATGACGCAACTCCTCAAAATTTATCTCACCAGCCCATATTACTTTAAAGTTTTTTTTCAAAAGCGAAAGAGATTACAACAAGAAAAAGTTTAATTTTGATTTTCAGTTTTCTCTTTGAGTAAGGCTCGTTCTTTGGAAGTGAGGAAGAGTTTGGGGCCTGAGAAAAAAAACACGAGGAAAAAAATTAATCACAAGGAAGATCCGGAGAGAAATACCACTGTAAAAGTAAGCCCGAGGTATTCGTTTATTATATTCTCCGCTCCAATGGAACCTAAAAATGCATCTATATCACCGCGGGCCAACTTGTTAAGTGCATCTTTCGCTTTTTCCGTGGCTAAACTAGCCCGAGTAGGCAAGAAACGACCCAGAGGCGACCGGGCAGTTTTTTCTTCTAGCGTCGCAGCTAGAGCATTTTTTTTCATAATATTTTTCTCAGCTGCCACTTTAAAAAAGCGGCCAGAATCAACCACACTTACTCCTAGTAAAATTCAGACCAGAAAAATAGCCAACCCCAGACTTGAAAACAAACTCGCTAAATATAAGTAGAGTTGCTTTTTTTCCACAGCTTCTCTTTTGGCTTTTTCCTCGGCTTCTTTATCTTTTTTTCACCGGTCGTATTCCTCAAACGACTTAATGTTTTCTAACGACTTTTCTTCTCTCTCTCTCTCTCTCTCTCTCTCTCTCTAACATAATCATTTTCTTTTTTTAATTCTGTCATGGCTAATTATTATTATAGTTATACAAGTTTAACAAGTTCAACCACTAAAACAAGGCCAGAAAGTTAAAAATGTTAAATATGAAGTTGCCAACCAAAAGCACTCGTAATCACTTATTTGCTAGTCGGGTCAAAAAAGAATGATTAGCCCAATTAAAAAAAATTGCTTATGAAGAAGATATTAAGTATGTGGAAGTTTTGGAAAGGTCCTTAGATTTTTACGCTTCGCGAAGGGAAAAGAAAAAATTAAAGCAATAATGGAGTTAGGTCAAATTATTGCGGGAATTAATTGTTGCCACGTGGCTATTTTTTTAGCGGTTTTGCTTTTTCTAGTAGTGTTGGCCGCTTTCGGTTATTCTTTTCATCTCGAAAAAGGCTTTCTTAAGCTCAAAAAAGAAGTCCGGGAAATCGAAGTTATTAACGGCAAAGAACGGCAAGCTATTGCTCTTTTGCAAACCCAAGTAGCCCGATTACAGGAGCAATTACTAAGTAAGAAAAATCGTAAGGTAAAAAACTAAGAAGAATGAGTAAAACTTTTAATTATGATAAACAACGAAAAATTTTCTCCTACCCCGCCGGGACAAATAATTGCTCAACGTTTTTTTAAGACCCGCAACTTAACTTTGAAAAAAGTAGCCACGGATACTTGTCTGCCTCTTTATCAACTGCAAGAACTAGTAATAGGAAAAAGAGATATCGATACTGACATTGCTGCTCGACTAGGTATTTATTTCAAAGTGGGAGCCGAAGGATTTTTGAACTTACAACAAATTTACGATTTAGAGATTTGAAAAGATCGTCAAGAAGCGGTAGTAAAAAAAATGATTCGTCCTTACCAAGAAACTAAACAACATGGCCGAACGAAAACAGTTCAAAGATAAGGACACGGAAAAAGTTTGAAATCGTATTTTTGTGCGAAAATGAAGTAAAGAATTACAGGAAAGAACTAACGGCAGGGTCTGCGGTTTTATAAAGGTGTTGGGAATTTCAGCAATCAGCAAAGAAGCATTTTCCGTCACTTCACGGGGCTCGTCGGAATTGAAGGTTTTTTTGTTGGTTGTTGAGAGTTAGGCATAAAAATAAATCACTAATCCCAAAGTTCATAACCATTTTCGCAAAGAAATTCCGGACCGAAGCGTAATAATTGCCGTTATGCTTAACTTGGTTAAATACTTCAAAAATGGCAGGTTCGGTTTGTGGGTTATGCCACGCCTGCGGCTTTCTCCTGCTTTTGCTTTTATCTTTCGGTCCTTGGCGATAAATGCCTACGGGCACATTTCCCACCGAAATTCGGGCTTTTTTTAAAGTTGGGGCGTAATCGGTGATTGAGATATTGAATAATTTCCCTGAACTTGCACTATCACTAAATAAATCGGCAAAAATATCGTTCTCCAAAACAGATTCATTATTAAGCAAGAAAATTTATTTTGGTGAAGATACTTTCTTTTGCGAGCATCATTTCAAACCAATCATATTTGTTCTTTCTGGTCGGCTTGGAGCAAGCAAACTGTTAACAAAAGTAGTAGTAAATAATGGTCACAATTTCATTCCCGCGAGTCTATTGTCAAGAATTTCGGAATAACCGGTTGTGGCATTTTCGCACTTACTGTTCTACAATTGGGACGATAATAACAAAAAAAAACTGGTGAGAGTAAATGAGGAAAAAGATTTGGAAGCGAAGAAAATATTTTTTCCGGACTAAAAACCTCGCTCGCTTTAGGTAATTAACTTTGTTTCGGTGAAACTTGAATTTTTGCTTCCCATACTCGCTGATTTTGCCGTTCAAGAAAAGTTATTTCATTGCTGATTCAATTATCCAACGATTGAAAGAGAGAATTTGCTTTGTTAGTATTTACGTGGTTATTAAAAGCCAACCGCAAATTGTTACTCAAAATATCTAGTTCTTTGATTTGTTTAGCGTTATTAACTAATTCCGGATTAACTTTTTTTCAAGCTGAAACATTATTGTAACAAGGAGCTAGTTGTTTAGCAATGGCTTGGACTTTTCCAGCCGGAGTTTTGGTGGTGTAACAATTTATTCCGATAGTCAATTCATCAGACAAATATTCTAAACCACTAGCAATATCAGTGTCGCAAATAGTTAAAAAGTTTAATTTGTTTAAGTTTTTTAAATGCTTTAAGGAGCCAATAAGTTGGTTATTTCCTATTTGCAACACCTTTAAATTTACTAAATGACCTAAAAAAGATAGGTCGCGTTGACCAAAATTATTACCACTGGCGGCTAATTCTTCTAATTTTTCCGCCGGTAGATTTATTTCGGTAAACTGATTACCAAAACAATGCACTGATTCCAAATTAGCAAAAGGAGTTAAATCCAAGCGACCTGTGAGTTTACCATACCCACAATGAAATTTCTTCAAACTGGGTAAGTGGTGTAAACTAAGAAATTGATTAGAAAAATTAGGAATACACACCTCCTCTAATCGTGGACAATTGTTAATAGTTACTTTGGTTATGTTAAGGATTTCGTTTTGGAAATAGCCCTCGGTTTTTATTTCTTTTACATTAGGATAATCACTAATAATCAATTCGCTCGGCTGTTCAAATTCTATTCCTGATAAGATAATTTCTTTTGTTTGCTCTTTTTGCGAATACTCTTGTTCTAATCATTCTTGAGTGGTGGAATAAATTTTGTTAATGATGGCAGTGTACCACTCAGATTTATTTTTTATTTCCCCCAAGCGAGGATTGCCAGTAATGATTACTTTAAAACAATAGTGCGTAAAGTCTTTTAAATCTAAATCACCTTCGAGGTCAAGATTACGAAGGTCTAGTTTTTGCACCCTTACTCTTTGAGCTTTGGGATAATTTTGATCAATATAATCTTGAACTTTAACCATAATGCATTTTTTTAGTTGTTTTTAGGAGGAATTTGGATTTGGGCTTGAAATTCTTCTTTGAAAAGATCAAGTTGATCAATATCAACTTCTACGTTCCCAAAGTCTCGAGATTGCTCATTAATCCCTTGAGATTTTTGTAGTAATTTAGTAATATTTTCAGTATCTATTGGCCTACTGCAACACTCAGAGAAGGGATTGACTTTGCTTACTCCATAGTCCAAATAAAATTGATTTCCTGAGTTTGAATTCAAAGTTAATAACTTGCTAAATGTTTCTCATGAATTTCTTTCTTCTTTGTTATAACTATGTTGCTTACAAAATTCTGAATACAATTCTTGCCAGATTTTTCTTGCCTCTTTAGGTTCTACTTTTTTAATCTCGCCCTTAAGTTGTTGATAAAGTTCAGAAAGTGTTTTACAGAACTTTTCTTCTTTTTTTATATTTTTTAATGGTAACATAACTACAAGTCTGCAAAGTTCTCCAATCAAACCTTTTTTAATGGAGTTAGCGGAAATTAAACAAGTTAAGCCTGAGGACCTATGAGAATTTTTAGCTGAGGACCATAAGCAATTTAGTTCTCTTAATGTTTCGTTGAAAAGCATTTTAAGCACCAAGCGAACCAGTATTACCTTATCGAAAAATAGTGTTCGCTCGTTTTATAAAAAAGAGCCAAAAATTAGCCTTTCCGAAAAAGTGCGAGTTCACCAAAAGCATTTAAAAGATGATTGCTTAACTGACGCCCAAAATTGCGATTATTTTAAGTTTTTCAACCGCAAAGAAAAGCGGTTATATATTCGTTTCCTTGACAAAGTGGAGGCTAATTTTGAAGGCACCGAAGCCCAACAAACCGCCCTGTTTTTAACCTTAACTTTTAATACTCAACAAGACAATTTATACGCTTTCACCACGAACGCCGACCCTAACCATGAATGCTGAAAACCCCTGGAAAAAAAGGCACCCTGATTAAAGGATTGAGCCCAAAAATTTGACCCGTCTTGCGAAACCAAGATTATTTTACTTCACAAAATACCGAAAGAGGAAGCCAGTAATTTTGCTATGGCTAGCCAATATTTAAGTAAATTTCTCCGCTCGGTGCGAAACAAATGAAAACCGCACAACTGAAAATGAGCCGTGGTGGCTGAACTCCAAAAAAACGGAGTTTGACATTTTCATTTAATTTCTACTCCGATTGTTCCTTACGCTCATAAATGTAGCCTAGATAAAAACTTTGCTTCTTGTTGAAATTGCCGTGGTTATCTACAAGAGCTCTGACCTTACGGGCGAGTAGAAAGTCGCAGCCCGGGCAAAAAGACGTTGGGGCAATATCTCGCTAAATACTTAGCTAAAAGTTTTCATTTGCGGTCGCTTTATCAGCAACACGGATTTAAGGAACACAATAAGGCTTACCGCTTTTTTAAAAATCTTTACGAGTATGACGAAAGAGAAGCATTTTTGCTAGGCAAAGGCAAATTTGATAAAGCCAGCGGGCAGCGATTAAACGGCAACCAGCAAATTTTCCGCCGAACTGATAACACTTATTTTTACCGCACCCACGAAAAACAAGTTGGAGAAGTCTCCCAACCTTTACGATTAAGTAAAAATTTTCGCTTGACTACTAATTTAAATCCGGGCGGCCTAGTGAAATTAGCTAAAAAGCAGCGAAAAAAACCCGCCCTAGAATTAACTTTTGGCCGACGGAAAAACCGAATTTTGACGCATGATTTTCAAGAATTTTTAATTACTAGTTTATTGTCGTTTTGCCAAAAAGCCGAATTCAGCAAAATTCCGCTCGAAGCCGAACAAGTCCCCAAAGAAGGCGGTAGTTGTGATAAATCCGTTTTTAGCCATTTTCAAACTAAATCGGTGCTGAATTTCACCTTTGCTCCGGAGCAGGCTGAACTCGCCCACCGCTTTTTCGCTAATCTTGACGCTTACACGGAAGAATACGAAGCCATAGAGGCTAAGGATTTTTTTAATCCGCGAATTACCGACCCCGTGGCTAGTCGTAATTCTTACCTGAATATTTGAGAAAGCGATTACTTTATTCCTTGACAACGGGAGAATGTGCGGAGTTATTGGTCGCCTAACGATTAGTTCCTAGGGGGAAATTTTGTTTATTTCACCCCCTAAAAAAGAAAAAGCCCAGCGAAAAGTTATGAAAAACACCCCAGAGAAATTAATTTGCTCGCACTGTGGACGAGGGATAAGACCAGGCTACGAGGAACAATGCGACAGTGGTAATGCTGATTGTAATGGATATTTCCACCTTCGTTGCCTCCGCAAATGCTACGACCACGGCCAGTGAGTAATGTCTCTTTGTCGTAATTGTAGTGCCTAGTAAAAGTCGTGGCGGGTTAGACACTAAACAACCCGCAAAACCCAACATTTTTATTTTACCGAATTATGCCAAATCTAACCGAAATTTGAAAGAAATTCATAGCAACCTTGAAGTGAATAAAGCAAAATTGACGAGCAATTTTAGCCCTGGGAGGAGTTTTAATATTTCTCCTTTTACTCGTAAAAATTATTTGAAAATGAACTAACCGAAAAATTTGTATCAAGTGTGAAAAAAAACAATCCGCCGAAAAGTTTTGAATTGAAATTAAACCTACCCTCGGCATTTGTCATACTTGTATAATTCGCAGCCTTTTTGGCACGAAAAACCACCCTGAAAACAATTAAAACACCATGTTGAAAACCATAAAATTCCCCACGGAACAAAAAACTTGAACTGACTTCGTTCGAAAAAAAAAACTAATTTTTCCCAAAATGAACCTAATCGACATTTCCGACCTCAACGAACTAGCCGCTCAATTAAACGAGCAAACGGCCAACGACCCTGAATTTTTAACAAAAATTTGCCCGCTCGAACCCGAGGAAATTATTACAAAATGCAAAGGGAATTTTTATTTCATTCTCGACCAATTAGCCAACCGAATTTTAGCCCGTTGTCTTATCCTCCAAAACCGCCTTTGCGAAGGAAAAGACGAAGCCTGAGAAAAAGAAATTATTGATTGAAGTTTAAAATTCCTAAAATGCGACCGAATGTACCCCAAGGGTCTCGGAGCCACTGATTTATGAGATTTTAAAACTAATGAGGAACAATGCGACAAACTACACGAGGGAGACCCCGAACTAGTTGAGAGAGTAAAAGACTTACCCTGAATTGATTGGTCGAAAATTAAAAAACCAGCCCCCGAACCCAAACTCAAAAACCCGTCAATTAGGAATTTCCCCAAGTTTGAACCCGAAATCGAAATAATAATAAATGAACCGCCTGAACTTTCCCCAACAACTAACCAGGAAAATTTTTCCGCAACCGTCCCACTAAAACAACCCCCAAATTCTTTTGACCCAGAACAATACCTAGCCCAGTTCCGAGCCCGATTGAGCGGGGGAGACCAAGAACACGAGGAGGAAGTAAAAAAAACCAAATGACAAAATGATTACGAATTTGCTTTGCGACGCACAAATGAAAGCCC